TGATCTGTTTGACATTTATTACAGTATAGTTAAAAGTGATAAGCATAAAGGAGAGTAATATGACACATTTTATAGGAATGCATTCATTTTCAGTCCCAACACCTACAAGTTTAAAGATGGAGGACTGAAAAAGATATTTAAAGAAATGAAATTTGAGTCCACTATAACCGAGTTTCCAAGTTCTAAGCTGTTCACTATAAGCGTTAAAAATAACATTATTTAAATAGGAATACGGACGGGACCCGCTAAAAAAGTTCACTACATCCGAGTGTTCACTATATCCCAGGTTCACTATAGCGGGATTCGACTGTATATTAGTAGAGTTCCTTTCACATCTAGAATAGCTTTTATATGTTCGTAAATAAATGTAACTAGTTTTTTTTTTTGTCTGATCCAATTCGAGCAGAATATTTTTTATAAAATTTTACAGAAACTTTTTCAACACTCAATTGTAAATTTATGAATTTTTCTACAAATTTTAAAATTTTAATCTCTGATATGAAGTCCTTCTTTTAAATATTTTATCGCATATTACACATTTACAGCATTTTATCGCATATTGCAATAGGGCACAATATATTAATTTAACAATATTCATTACTGATTTACCTCTAATGATGACTAATAATCAACTATTGTTTTATTATGACCATGAGGCATTTTTAAATGATAAAAGAAAATATTACGGTGAAGCAAAAATTAAAATATAATTTTGCTGTCTCAAATTTGATACTAAATTGAAAATAAATATATAGAAAATGAAATGAAAAATAATTAAATAAAAAAATTAAAGCAACAGATGATAATTTTAATTCTGAAATCGGAAAACATTTAATTTTTGTTACTATTTCATTATTGATTTTTAAAAATAAACTTTTGCATTGTTTTTAAAATATTCCATGCAGTTTTGCTTAAGATTAGATTATACATCTTATTATCTGAAAAATTCATTTTAATTAATGAATTTTTATTGCCCATTTCAATAACAGTTATAAGTGAACAAAGACTTTCGGGAGCCACTATAATTATAAAAATTTATTAATATATAATCACCTGAAACGGTTTTCCTTTTTGCTTAATGAAAATATGTTAAACAATCCCTATCCAAGGTCTTATTGGTCATTCTTTTTTGCCATTTTCTAGTACACTTTGGGCAAAAACTACTTAAAGTAACACATTAAAAAATTTTATTCAATAAAAACAATATATTCTACAAGTTAAACATATTTTTTCTCCACATGTCTTAATTTTCTAAAAATTAATGTTGTACCAAAACATTAAAAAATAAAAAAAACTTGCAAAATTGTCAAAATAATTTTTTTTTTAAGATGCTATGTTAAAAAAATAACATTTTAAATAAAATATTTTGTAGTATAGACACTTTTTTTGTACACATCCTGAAAAGAAACACAGACCTGGAAGTTTAAGATTGTTACTTGGAAAACCTGGAAAAATCAGGGAAATTTGAAATCTAATTTGAGTGGCCACCCTGCTCATAAAAGGTGCCAAACCTGAAAAATGTTTCACGACTAATCAAAATAAAATTCTGAAAATATTTTTCATTATAAATCTAGCAATATTTTATATCTGATGCTGAAAAAAATATATAAAGATTTAAATTATAATATGTTTGATGATGGATAATTTTTAAGATGAGGAATAGTTTGTAACATTTTATGATTCTCAACTTTTTTGTTTTACAATATATTTTATGTTTTCTAATGTTATGTTTGTAACATGTTATGTCCATACATTAAACCATTTTATTTTGCATTTGAAATTTGTTAATGAAAACTTTTTCTTCTATTTTGTTTTGGAAATTAGACTGCAAAATTATCGGTTTAGGTGTCTATAATCAACTAAAAATATCCTAAGTTTAGATTTAGAAAACTTATTAATTTGAAAGAGCATCACTGTACTTTGGGTAAACTAGACCACTTTCTTTAGATCTGAAATCTTTTTTTTATTAAAAAAAAAACTAACAAGATTGATGATGAATTTTTTTTTATAAAATAATTGAAATTTTTTTAAACTGTTTTAAATGTGTTGAGAAAATAATTAATAAAAATTATTTAATTTCTCAGAATTTTTTTTTTTATGTGGACCTCTGATGCCCAAATCTTCTATGCTTAATGCTTGCATATATTATGTCATATATTTTTGTACAAATTTTATTAAATTATTTATAATTAATGGAGATAATTAAAATGCAAATTCTTTTACCAAAACTTATATTTTGGTTATTATAATTAAAAATATTTAAAGATTGTCATTTTATTTCAAAATTTAGAACTGGTGGTCATCAGTGGGGTTCTCCAAAAATTTCTTCTAGAACTGGTGGTGTGAACTGGAGTCCAAATACACCGGTGTCAAACTATTTTGGTGTGCCACAGAATGTGCCACCTGTGGTAAGAGCGATATTTTTATAAAAATTGATTTTAATATCTTTTTAAGGTTGCTTCAATTTTTTATTTTTAAAAAAAAATGAAACAAACTTGTATTTTTGCCCTCTATGTTACCTTACTTGTTAGGCATGAATTTATACTTACAAAAGCGTATATCAAGTTTAATTAANCTAAAAATATCCTAAGTTTAGATTTAGAAAACGTATTAATTTGAAAGAGAATCACTGTAATTTGTGTAAACTAAACCACTTTCTTTAGATCTGAAATTTTTTTTTTTTTATTAAAAATATTTCTTTAGTTTTTTTTTATATAAAATAATTGAAAATTTTTTTAAACTGTTTTAAATGTGCTGAGAAAATAATTAATAAAAATTAGTTTTTTAATTTCTCAGAATTTTTTTTTTATGTGGACCTCTGATGCCCAAATCTTCTATGCTTAATGCTTGCATATATTATGTCAAATATATTTTTGTACAAATTTTATTAAATTATTTATAATTAATGGAGATAATTAAATTGCAAATTCTTTTACCAAAACTTATATTTTGGTTATTATAATTAAAAATATTTAAAGATCGTCATTTTATTTCAAAATTTAGAACTGGTGGTCATCAGTGGGGTTCTCTAAAAATTTCTTCTAGAACTGGTGGTGTGAACTGGAGTCCAAATACACCTGTGTCAAACTATTTTTGTGTGCCACAGAATGTGCCACCTGTGGTAAGAAAGATATTTTTATAAAAATTGATTTTAATATCTTTTTAAGGTTGCTTCAATTTTTTATTTTTAAAAAAAAATGAAACAAACTTGTATTTTTGCCCTCTATGTTACCTTACCTGTTAGGCATGAATTTATACTTAAAAAAGCGTATATCAAGTTTAATTAAGTTTGCATAAGTGAAATTTCAAGAATGATAATTATAGCATGTGTCTTTGTAAAAATCTAATATTACATTAACTTGCATATTGTATGACTTTAAAAAAAGTGTTTATAAAATTTTGTTTGATTTTTTAAGATGTTTGCGCACTTCTAATTTCAGAAACATTTTTCACTTTTGTCCTCAGAGAAAGTTATTTCTTTTATTTTCTAACAGTTATTGATATGACCTCTCTTCAGAACTCCTGAGGACTGAAATTAGTCTTGAGAAAACGCAAGAGACCAGAATGTCTTAGGACAATTAATATCTTTCCAATTTGATTTTTGAATTTATCATGAAAACAAATTATTTCTTCCTTAAAAAATTAAACAAACATACCTGCCAAGTCTCCTGTATTTTACGACTATCTCCTGTTAACCCATATGTTCTCAAATTTCTCCGTATTTGTTCAAGAAATTTAAGAAAGAAAATTTGGTCATAAAATATCCACTGATGGCAAAAATAATTATCTTATTACTCAACAGATGATACTATTGCTAGTACTGTAGTATGCTGAATGTTAATAGTTTAAGAAGAGGCCGGGATAGCCTGGTTGGTAGGGCACTGGGCCCATGTCCTACAGTTTGTCGGTTCGATCCCAAGCCGACCGAAGACTCCCTGTGTAGTGAATGGTGATTGATGTACGTTAAATCTGTCGAGTCGCAAAGTCCTACATGTTCCCATAACAAATCAATATCTCTGGGGGTACTGATCCAGGAGCTCCCTCGTCTTCTGGATTGGGATCAAAATTATGAGAATACAGAGTTGAACATCAGCAATCGTAAACCCAGAATTAGGTCAGCTGTTCAAATAAAATAGTTTAAGTACTTATAAATAATGGTTTTAAAAAATCTTCTTTAAATTAAGATTTGTATGCATATTTTTTACTTTGCTAACTGTAAGTGCTTATATTATTTCTAAATTTGAATTTTTACTTTTTGACTTACATGATTATGCATCATGTAATAAATAGTTAATAGTCTTTGTCTTACTTACAAATGGAACTTAAAAACAAGCTTGACTCAGAATCACAGCTTCAGGTCAACATAAACATGATATTTTTAGGTTTTTATGGCTGGTTATTTAAAAATTATGTACTTCTACTTTTAATTTTATGTCTGTCAGTTTGATCAAAAGTAACTGGCAAGAAGTAAAATTTTATTTATTGATACGATATCCGTTTACTTTCAGATAAGTAAATTTGTCATTACTCGCTAGGCTATTTGGTTAAATAAATTTTTTTTTAATCGCAGGCCTCCCAACATATTTTAGACAAGGAAAAAGAGGACCATTTGTAGCTAAAAAGAAGACCTATGAGAACCACTTCAAGACTGAAAAAAAAGAAAGAAAAGAATTTAGTTCTTAGTACCATTTACAATTAAAACAATTATTATTCCGGGACCCCTGAATACAGTTTGGTTCGATATCTTTACCAATATTAAAAATGTCATAAAAATTTAAAAACAGAATCCTACAAAAAATCTTGACTGTTTCAATCAACAATCTTACGTTTATTACTTCTCTCTTTTTAGCTTTATCTTTCTCATTTAAAATACTTGTGTAGAAGTATTTTATTAGCTTGTAGTTCACTTATCTGTTAAAGGCATTTTTAGTTTTTTGAAATTCATATTTTATAGAGAGTTAGATGAAAACGTTCAAAAGAGTGTTTACTAAATAATTTGAAATGAGGCAGAAATAGGAGTAAACAAATAACTTTATACCAATTTAACATTTTCTCATTCAATTATTTAATTTTTTTTAGCCACCACAATTCTTTATCAGCTTACTTTTTTTTTATTAAATCTGCAATCTTCTATATTTAAACTAGTTTCACGAAACTGAGTTCCTAAAAAATCAGATCCTATTGCTATGAGCTCAGGCATGCTCCCTCAAAACGTTTTAGTGGCATGTGTTATTATAAATTTAATTTGTAATAATTTTGTAAGCTTAAAAGTAATTAGTCTTAGATTTCTGAAAGGAATGTTTGAATTCTTAACAATTTTTCCCGTGCTTATGTCTCAGCGCCATGTTTTTTTCTTATTCTTACATTACTTTAATTTAAATAATACAGATTTTAAAAAATCTTTCTTTTCAGATCTTTCTTTTCTGATATGCATGTGCACATTTTTTTAAAAGTATATTTTTTAGACTGGTACCTGTAGAAATTATATTGACAGTTACAGTATAAAACTCTATTTTATGTATAAAAATATAGTTTTTTATTTCATTTTTGATATTTACAAATAAGTAAATGAAGCTGTTTATATCTTTGATTCAATTATTTGTAGCCAAAATGTACATATTATTGACAATTCTTATTTTATATTATTATATATTCTTACTTATACTCAAACAAATACTATTTACCATAAATTTAAAAAAAGAGCATAGCTATTTTTTTTTAAATTTTCAGTTATTACCCTTCTCTTTGCGTGTAATCCTAATAATTTTATTTCTAAATATGTTTCTTAATTCATTAAATAGTATTTTTTGTCATGAAATTGTATAAAAAAATAAATAGTTGTAAATAAATTGTATAAAAAAATAAAATAACCTTTATACCAAAAGATATTTTAATAATAATAAAAAAACATGGATAATCATATTTTTAAATAATTTGTTAAAAAAATTAACACATACATCTTGGAAAATAAATTTGATTTTTGTTGAATAATATTACCCTTTTTCAAAGGTTAAAATTTAAAATATATTTAATTGAGTAAAAAAAAGAATATATTTAGTGGTTAAATTTCATTTGTAAGAATTCAGTTAAACAAATTTGCTGCAGCAATTTGAATTAATTCCTAGAGTAAATATTTTAAGCTATGCACTCTTTTAATTATGTATCTTTATTGACCTTTATTTATTTTTCATTAAAATAAATGCTCGCAGTTATAAGCAATTTTAGGTTTTAAACATTTTTTTAAATAAACAATTCAATCTCATTAGAATGTTATAGAATATAATGTTTATTCAATTGACAAGTTTTATGAGTACAGTATTTATCACATAATTTTTGAAAAGAAAAATTTAAAACTTATTGTAATATCAATGACATGATTACCATAATTTTTATAAATTTTTTGTAGCCTATTGCAATCTAACCAAAAAAAAGTAACTGAAAAAAAAATCACATTAAAATATCCTTAGAATGACGAAAAACAACATAATCATCCTAATGCTTAGTGAATATCTTTTTATAATTTAGAAAATTTCTTTGCCAGCAAAAAGAGAAGTAAATGCATGAATTAATAAACAATTGTAAGTTTTAAAAATTTATTAAGTAATTTTTTTTTTTTATCTTAATGGCAGGCACTGAGCTTTCATCCTTCACCTTGAAAGATGCCGGAAGTGTTGCCCATTTAAAGTTACCCAATGGGCACCTGTAAAACTAATTCACGAAGGAGAGCAACATTACCCATGCTACACTGTCACAGATACCTGTTTATAGGTTGGGCCACATTCACACAACAGAGAATAGCCCACTCAGAGAAACATCCATGCACTAAGTTGGATGCGAACCCGCAACCATTGGTTTCGCAGTCAGGCATGCTGAACACTCGGCCACCTGGCCGGCATTTATTAAGTAAGTAATTTAATCTATGAATGTTTTAGTATATGAGGTATTTTCAACCAACAAGTTTTGCAATTACAGTATTTATTGAAGAGAAAAATCAAATATTAATAATAAGATCCAATGCATTCCATTCCCCGATCCAATTATGCAATCCATTCCCTTTTTCTTTTTTTTTTTTAACATTTTGCAGTCAATAGAAACCCTAACCAAGAAAGAGTACACAAAGAACAATAAAATAAAAATGTCTGAAAGCTGATCAAAACAACTTAATAATTCATAGCTAATAGATATTTGTTTTATAATCAATTCAAGTATTCTTAATGAAAAGTGTCATTGCAAGTAGAAATTCATCAAAAAAGTAGAAAAAAAAATTAAAATTTTAAAACATAACAATTTATTTTTAACAATTATTTATTTATTAATTTAATTATTAATTTATTTTTAACAAACATAACAATTTTTTAAACAATTTATTTAAGTTTTAATATTGTTAGTAACATGGTAACAATGAGGGCCAAAATCAATTGGACTGTTCAGATCTGCATAACAATGGGAGACGAGAATAGGGAGAATTTGTTTCCTCGATAGCTATTCCAATTTCAAAAGCTTCTTCGGAGCACATGCATTAGCTCATAATAATAGGAGTCGTTTTTGA